TTGAGTTGTACAACCATAACCATCATTAGTCTTAGAATAGTTTCATCAGCCACTCACACACACACAAAATTCCCATGCCACCATTTCCTGCACCATGTTTCAAGATCCTGGAAACCACTCATCCACTTGCAATGCCTATTAAGTTTCCTATCTCTTGGCATTTTACATAAATTGAATAGTGCACCAAAAACACATTTTTAAAGAGAGACAAAATAACATTTCTCTTTTTAAAAGACTTATTTTTATTGCAAAATCAGATACAGAGAGGAGGAGAGACAGAGAGGAAGATCTTCCGTCCAACGATTCACTCCCCAAGTGGCCACAACAGCCAGAGCTGAGCCAATCCAAAGCTAGGAGCCAGGAGCTCTTCCGGGTCTCCCACCTGGGTGCAGGGTCCCAAAGCTTTGGGCCATCCTTGACTGCTTTCCCAAGACACAAGCAGGGAGCTGAATAGGAAGCAGGGCCACTGGAATACAGACTGGCACCTATATGGGATCCCAGTGTGTTTACGATAAAGACTTTAGCTGCTAGGCCATCTCACCAGACCCAAAGCAACATTTCTAAACACCTATATATCTATTAAATACTTCATCTATATTTTCTTATTTAGCTTGTGAAGCAGCCAGTTATATTAGGTAACATTTTCTTCTTTTTTTTTTTCACTCATTTGAAAGGTAGACAGATACACACAGTTTTACCCCTGGATTACTCTCCAAATGCTTGCAAGACCTGTGGCTCAGACATTGCCAAATCCAGGAACCTAAAACTCAATGTAGGTCTTCCCCTGAATGTCAGGTATCTAACTACCATCATGTATTGGTTCCCATGGCGAGCATCAGTGAAAGTTAGAATTGGGAATTGGAGCTAGGACTCAAATTGACACACTCCGAGAATCTCTTAACTACTTTGTTGTGTGTTTTTGCCCAGTATTACTAGTTCTGGTAAGGAGAAGGAAGGCAAAGATTTGGAACACTTTGCCTGCTCATGGAGACCAAATGCTAACACGGCATTTCTGACACTATGAAGATTGAGAAACAATTGTTTTAAAAAGTGGTGTATCTGACATAAAGCCATGGAATCACAGAAATTTATTCTTCCATGTTTTCTCTATCAGATACTGAGAATCAATAGTGATCTGTGTACAGTATGACTCCCACATTCATGGGAAATCAGAATTCAAACTTGGAAATAACCTCAGAGACCACCTAGCCTAGCTTCTCCATTTTATTGATGGAGAAACTAGGACCAAAGGAGCAAGTAATTTGCTCAAGATCGTGTGGATCAAATACAGTGCCACCAAATGACCTTTCATCTGTTATTGGAAGGACAAATTCACCAAAGGTGAAACTTTTCCCCAGAATGACTTCAGCAAACAAGCTGAGAAGAAAGGCAGATGGCACCATGAAAAGAATCAGGTCAGAAGTCCCAGAATTCCACACCAGCTCAGCCACAAATTCACTGCAAGAGCTTAGACAAGTCGTTTCACCCTTTTGTACTTCTTTTTACTAGTCTGGAATTTAATTGACTGGAATATGTGAACGTTTGAAAGCCTTGCCTTTAATAAGAAATTTTGTCTAATACAAAATTAGATGAACGTTTATTTAGATTGCAAATGTTAGGCTATTTTTAAAATACCATAAACCAAGCTGAAGAATTTATAAAATGGAAAGTCAAGTATTTTAAAACAACCAATATTATGAACATAAATTCCCCTGGCGACAAATACATAAATGCATCTTTTAAAAATTATGAAAGGCCACTTCTTCAACAAAAAAAGAGTTCATTTCCAAGAAGTAAATATCCAAGACACATTAATCAAAATATTAATAAACTTGTTCACTAGTTAATGCAGTGGCATGTATGGACAGCAATATCAAATTATTTCCTTTGTAAAGTCTTAATTTTCTGTGTTTATTTCCTTTGGGAAGAAAAGATAATTCAATCTTGTTTTAAATGAAAGACATCAGTATGCTTTAATGACTAATAGAAAGTCATTTATTCATCCAAGTATTCTTTATTGAATACCTACAATATATGTGGATGCCCAGAAATGGAGTTATTATAAAATGAGAAATTTAAAGGATGATGCAAGAATGTATCCGTGCTGCCGAAGCGAGCACAGGAGGATGCAAGAGCGTGAAACTAACATTAAAAACCTGTCTTTCTTGTAACACAGATATTTGAACAGCCTAGAGTTGTTTGTTTAAAACTTCACAGGTTGACACCTGCACAGTGGAGAGGCAGAGCAGATGATGTGTGTAGGGGGTAAGTGGGAGGACAAAGAGCATAGTTCTGTAAGCAGCAGCGGGGCAGGGCACAGAAAATGTTCAGACTGACACATTCCTCCTCCTTCTCCCACCTCCCATGATAGAATAATAATAGGGATCTGTTCCATGTGTATTGTATCATCCTTCAGAGTTTACAGAGCGTTTTCACATTCATTATCTGATCTGATCCTCACGCCAACCCTAAATAGAGGCAGAATATGCGTATTGCTTCTCCCATTTTTTCCAAATCAGAATACCCGAGGCTGAAAGTGGAGAAGTGGTTTTTCCACAGCCAAATGACAAGGCACATTAATGCCAAGACTAGAACTCCTGACTTTGTCCCTGTAAACTGTTTTCCTTCCGTCACCTCCATTCAGCTTGGTGTTTTCTTGCAGTTTGATGAATGTTGTCCGTAGTGCATTGATGAGCTGGAGTGGGCAACAGACACAGGAGTTAACTCCAGCAGTTCAGGTAGAGCAAAAGGAAGTGAATTAGACTCTTCTTACCTTTGCTTTGACCACACCGTGTGTGTGTGTGTGTGTGTGTGTGTGTGTGTGTGTGTGTAAATGTGTGCATGAGTGAAAGTTATAAAGAATAAGCTTCAGCCAGTCTCTCCTAAATTCACTTCTCTCCATCTAAAATGACAATAATGCACACATGCACACACACACACACACACACACACACACACACACACACACACACACATTATTTCTGCTTCCATTTTGTGAAATGGAGAGGGAGATAAAATGTGGTAAATATAAACAAACTGCTAATAATTGCTGGAAAGCAGAATTAGAGGATAAGCTCACTTTGATTGCAAAAGGTTTTGAAATCTACACATAGTTTTTGATGATACATATTTCTCATGAACTCTTTGAAGTCTTTTCCCACATAAATGGGAGTGCTTGTAAAGGAATGGAGAAAAGAGAGCTCAGAGTATTTAACATACTACGAGTGCTTTAATTTTAATATTTCATTTCATCTTCACAATGGCCTCAGGACACAAGTCCTACTAATTTATCTCTCTTTTTAAAAAATATTTATTTCTGTTGTAAAGGCAGACTTACAGAGACAAGGAGAGACAGAAAGAAAGATCCTCCAACTGCTGTGTCCCTCCGCAAATAGCCTCAATGACCAGAGCTGAGCTGATCCAAAGCCACGAGCCAGGAGCTTCTTCTGGGTCTCCCACATGGGTGCAGGGTCCCAAGGTTTCGGGCCATCCTCTGCTGCTTTCCCAGGCCACAAGCAGGGAGCTGGAAGGGAAGTGGGGCTGGGACATGAAGCAGAGCTCAAATGGGATCCCACCACATGCAAGGCAAGGATTTAGTCTCTGAACCATCGTGTCAAGCCCAATTATCCTTCTTTTATTTATAAACTTAAAGCACAGGTAGGTGAAGTCATATGTCTAAGAGCCAGTGATATCCTGAATTAAGACTCTGATTCGTCCATGTGGATCCAGAATCAGAGATCTCATACCAAGTAAAGAACTTATGTTGTCTGGCGAATTGAAACAGACATGGATTTATTTTGAACCAAAGCTGGTAAAGCCCCCCCGCCGCAACCCCAGAAGTCTCCTTATCCAGCATCTATCCAAACATAGGAATCCCTTCTAGACACCATTTGGTGATGGTCGTCCAAGTGAGCCACAGTGGCTCAGAGTTAGTGTAGGTTCTATAAATTGAAAAGAATCTACATGGATTCACCCATTCCCTTGTTTCTTGCTTCCCCCAGGGTAAGAGCTGGACATATGCAAGAAGCAGCAAACCAACATCTGAAATGACCTGTGATCAGGAAAGAGAGGGACAGAATCTATACAACTTGGTTGTGTGATTCCAAACACTGTGTAACCTTAAGCTTTGATCACACTTAGCTGCTCCATAAGAACTTGGGACAGTCACAGTTCCTTTGGCAGCTTTATTATTTTGCCCAGGCATGGTTAAAGGAATCATTTAGGTAATGCTCAGCCAGGAACTACATGACTTCCATGGTTACTTTGTCCTTTGGTTGGGCTTTCACAGGTTACAAATGATGACTTCAAATCTGAGCTTGTTTGCTCTGCTTGTTCAGAGACGTTCTGACTTCTGCTACAATCCGAATATGAAGAAATAATCAAGGTCCCAGTAGATCCTCTGTTTTCTGATCAGAAACATGAGTATTTGTGACTTCTACTGTTTCAGACATTATTATGTATCAGGCACTAAAAATGAAGGAGAAGGACAGTCCATGAAGAATGAAATTGATATGATCATCTTCTTGTTACCACATTTCCAGTATCTCCCTCGGTGTGATTTGGAAGAAAGGGAAAGTGAACTAGAAGTCCATGGCACTGATTTTTTTTTTCAGCGCTCTGAATGACACCTATTTTCATTCTCTCATCACTTATTGAACACTTAAGTAAAGGTAATCAAGTGTCTTCCTCCACTGGGCCTTTGCTCTCTCTATATTTTTAAATTTCTTCTCCTTTTATTCCATGAGTTTCCTTTACCTCTTTTTTGTTTTCATTTTTTTTCTTCAGCTTTTCAGCCTTCCATGTTATGCACAGGAAATGGCAATACTATTTGGGAAGAGCTTTAAAGTGACAATATAGAGGTGGTAGCATCTGAAGAGTTCATGGATTAATGTGCTTTGAGTGGAAGTGCCTTACCACATTTTTCTGTATTCACTTGTATCCCCATTTTAAAGAATGCCTAGAGAACTTTTAACTAGTCCAGAATAATTCTCCCAGTATCAATGGAAAATTCATCTGTGGCGGCTGACTTCATCCTTCTTGGCATGACAGATGACGCTCACCTTGGGATCCTGCTGTTTGGAACCTTCCTTATCATTTATGTGATCACGGTGTTGGGTAACCTAGGCCTTGTGGTCCTTATCAAAACCAGCCCCCGGCTCCACACCCCCATGTACTTTTTCCTCTCGAATCTGTCCTTCCTTGATGTTTGTTTCTCTTCCACCATAACTCCAAAGACTTTGGTAAACTTGCTATCGAAGCTGCAAGAGGTTTCTTTCCTTGAATGTGTGACCCAAATGAGTCTGTTCATAATCTTTGCCTCGACTGAATGCAACCTTTTGGCTTCCATGGCCTTCGATCGTTATGTTGCCATCTGTAGGCCACTGCTCTATCACATCACCATGTCAAGAGGTCGCTGTCTTTTCTTGGTAGCAGGATGCTACTTTGGCGGGTTGATGAACATGATTGCTGTTACAGCTGCACTCACACAACTGTCATTCTGTCAACCACATTTCGTTCCCCACTTCTTCTGTGATATCCCTCCACTGCTGGCACTGGCTTGCTCAGATCCCTGGCTCACCCAAACCTTGGTTGTTGGATGTGGGGGATTCACCCTTGTCACATCCATTGTGGTGATCCTGATCTCCTACGTGTCCATCCTCATGACTATCCTGGCAATTCCCTCAGCTTTTGGGAAACAGAAAGCCTTCTCCACGTGTGCTTCCCACTTGACTGCTGTTGGCCTGTACTACGGAACAACCATGTATACTTACTTGCAGCCCTCTCGACATGGGTCACAGGCAGGAAATCAGATGGTCTCTGTGTTTTATACAATGGTGATTCCTTTATTAAATCCTCTCATATACAGTTTGAGAAATCAGGAAGTGAAAATGGCCCTACAGAAAACATTGTGGAACTGTTCCTAAACTTTTATTATAAATTTCAAGAATGCAATGTGTTCTGTGAAGATTGGCTCACAGCATCATCCAATGTTTTCTCTGAGTGCAAATGAGGCCTAAAAAATCCCAATTTGATTGCTGTGGCAAAATGTTTAGATACACAAATGATCCTTAAGTTCTGTATCCTTGGATTCAACCAACCACAGATCAAAATGATTTGGGAGAAAAAACCTGTGTCTGTACCAAATGTGTACAAACTTTTTCTTGTCATTACTCCTTAAACAATGCAGCATGGCATCTATTTCCATAACCTTTACATTGTACCAAGTATTATATCTACATATGATTAAAATATACAGGAGGATGTGAGTGGGTTGCATCCAAAACCTATGCTATTTTATATGAAGAGCTTGAATATTTGCAGATCTTGTTATCCCTGGTTCCACTGTCTCACAAATACTGAGAGAAGACTGTACTTATTTAAATTAATAGCAACAGAGCTTGGTGTAAATTATATATACAAAGTAATATGTATTTTCTGAATCGGTTGCCTGATAAGAAATATTTAAGAGGGAAATGTGTACGTGTGTGAGTATAAGTATGTCTATTTGAACAATAAAGCTGTATGGTAATGCTAGTAATGATGACAAGGTTAGAAAATATTGTCATCTGACTATAACTTATAGAAAAGCGCATGATTACAACTGAAATGTAAACAACTCTTCAGTACTGTGCACATATATAATCAGTAAGGATGTTCTTGATGTTTGTAAATTGAGTTAAGATCACTACATATGTCTCACAAGGATTCAGGAAACTCCTGACTGTGTGTTCTACAAATGCCCTACCATCACTGCTTCCCTGAGGCTGTAAAAATGCGTATACATTAAGCATCACGCACAATTGGTATTATGTTTAAATATTTACTTATTTGAAAGGCAGAAAGACACAGAGAGAAGGAAATAAGACAGAAATCTTCCTTTTGCTGCTTCACTCCCTGAATGCTTGAAACAGCTGTGGCTAGTCTGAGTAGCAGCCAGGAACCAGGAACTCAACTTGGGTCTTTCATATGGGTGGTAGGTAGCCAAGCACTCAGTCCCTCATCCACTGCCTCGAGGGTATTATTAACAGGAAGCTGGAATCAGAAACAGAGATTCAAACCCACGCACTGTAATACAGGATACAGGTTAACCAAAGCGCATTCTCCCACTATGCCAGATGCTGCCCTACCCCCAGTTGCAATTACTGAGACTTACAGGGAAAAAATCTAAGGGTGATAGTCAGTCCAATGATACATTAAGTTCACTAATTAAAGTTTGAATATCTTTTTGTAAAGGGCAGTGCATCACTGGTTAGTGGGAATTCCAGCTGAACTGTAGCTACAATTCTTTGTGTGCAATTTCTGGGCCAATCTTTCTGCTATTTCTTGAATAAACTTTCCACAAGCAACACAAGTATAGTCCCAATTAATTTGTTAGTCTGCCTCTTGTCTGCTTGGAGTTCATGGACATTGCTATCTTGTTAAAATCTGTTGAACCAAAAAAATTATCCATAAATATGAAATCATAGAATCTTATACCTGGAGGATACAAAATCTTGGCATTGTCTATAAATGAAGAAACTAAAGCCTAGAAATAAGAAAGCAACAACAACAATAACAATCAAGCAGCTAGATGTGGAGAAATTATCAAATTGGCTCAAGCTGCAAGGAAAACTAGAAAGTAGTATATTTCTTCATACAGGTCAGACACAATCTCTGGGTTCCAGGAATAGTTGTAGAGCCTCAAGTCCCAGTAGCTGTACAGCCTTCAGAGCCACCTTCCATCACCTAAATCCTAGTTGGGAGTTACATGGCAGCCACATGCAAATTATCTTAGAGTTCCAGATCCATTGCTCCAGAGACCAGCTGTAACCCCATTTGGTAGTTTCTCAGGCACTTCAAACTTGTTTCAAACACTGAGCCCTTCTAAATTTGCTCTTTATTTACTTGAAAAGCCATCTCTCTCTCTCTCTCTCTCTCTCTCTCTCTCTGTGTGTGTGTGTGTGTGTGTGAGAGAGAGAGAGAGAGAGAGAGAGAGGGAAAGGGAGAGAGAGAGAGAAGTATCTTCTACCCATTGGTTCACTGCCCAAATGGATGCAACAAATAGGGCTGAGCCAGGAGCCAGGAGTTTCATCTGAGTCTCCCACAAGAGTACAAGGACCCAAACACTTGGATCATCTTCCACTGCTGCCCTATGCACATTAGCAGGGAGCTGGTTGGGAAGTGGAACAGCCAGGACTAAAGCTGGTGCCCATGTGGGGTGTCATCAGTGCAGGCAGTGGCTTCACGTACTATGCTACAACACCACCCCCTATGCTGAGTCTTTTAACATTGGAAAGTTGCAGCTTCTATTGGAGAGACACAGAAGGGAAAACTGGATGGGGTCCAGCAGACTTAAGGTATAGAATTGTGAACAGCCAAAAATCTGTCCCAGGGATATAAAGTGGCATTGAAAAGTTTGAATTCTCTCAGAGGCTCCAAGAATCCTGCAGATACTTAACAATCCCACTAGATTTGGAATTTGACTCCCAAAATTTGGAAATGATTTTAACTCTTGTGATAGTGACATAAACCCCCAGTGTGGGGCCCTTTTGGCCTCGGGGCCCTGTCCAGTTGCCTTGAGGGCATGCATGTGAAGCCAGCCCTGCTAAGAGAGAGGAGTTACTTTTCTCTTTCTCAAGCAGTGCAGTGTGATGGTTAAGATAATCAGACTGCCAGACTATGAGATCCGTCTTCACTTCTTTATGCTGTGACCCAGACAATTTATTTCACTTCAGTTTCCTTATCTACAAAACAGGGATAAGATTACTTATGTTGCTATGAGATTTAAACAAGTTGATGTGACCGTTGTTATGGCTCTGACTTTCAAAAGAAATAGTTTTATTTTCAAAAATGAGGTGATGTGCCCACGTTTGTTAGTACAGTGTCTAGCACACAGCGTAGTGCTACCGTGAGTGTAGCTGCCACCGACAACACCAGCATCCCATATGAACACCAGTTCAAGCCCAGGCTACTCCACTTCTGATTCAGTTCCCTTCTAGGAGAGCAACAGAACATGGCCTAAGTCTCGACCCCCCCCCCCACTCCTCATGTTGGAGAGGTAGATGGAGTTCCAGGTTCCTGTCCCCAGTATGGTTTAGCACTAGCTAGCCATTTTGGCCCCTTGGAAAGCAAACCAACAAATAAAAATCTCTCTTTCCTCCTCTCTCTAATTCTGCCTTTAAAATAAGAAAGTTTTTTTCCCCCTTTATTTATTTATTTTTATTGGAAAGGCAGATCTACAGAGAGAAAGAGAGATAGAGAGTCTTCATCAGCTAGGTCACACCCCAAGTGGCCACAACAACTGGAGCTGAGCCAGACCGAAGCCAGGAGCCAGGAGCTTCTTCCAGATCTCCCACGTGGACTTTGGGCAGTCCTCTACTGCTTCCCCAGACCACATGCAGGGAGCTGGAAGGGAAGTATGGCAGCTGAGACACGAACGGGCACCCACATTAGATTCCAGTGCATGCAAAGCAAGGACTGTAGCTACCATATGGGAGGCCCCAAAAGTTAAATATTAAAAAAAAAACTAAATTAAAATCAATAGTTTGTAGACATGCTATATGCTATATGCTAGGTTACTACTTCATGTTATAATTTATGGCTTCTACAATTCTCCATTGTTTTAAATTTGAAATACAGGCACTGAGGTTTGTTTAAGTTTACTCGGGATCTGCTACAGTATGGTGATTAGCCAGCTACCATGGGGTTGAGTCACATTAGGTTCCAGTGGCCTCTCAGGCCTAAGGGAACTTCACTGGATCTGTGTAAACTGAGGGAGTCCCATCAGGTCCCTTCAAGTCAGCTTTTGGCTTTACAAAACTGTAGGTTTTGTAATAATCTTGGGAACAACATACTTGTTCAAAAAACAGGAAACCAATATTATTAAATGTCCTACAACAGACCTCTTTGTCCTTCCTTCTGCATTCTGTCCTCTTCCACTGCTGTGGTGCTTTCACTTGCTGTATAATGCATTCTCTCAAGCACAGGGATGCATCCTGATCTGTTACTTTTTAAACAAGCTTTCAAGAAGTTACCCTCATTGTTTCATAAATCATGGCTCCTTGCTACTGGGTTAATGAATAAGATTATCCAAAGTCTCAGGAGGGCTGGGTCTTCCTCCTGCTTGCAGACATGACATCCTCGGAGCAGCTCGAGCCAGAGCTAATTGGGCTTCTGTCAGGTGTCTGGGCTCCTGGGAGGGAACTGTGAAGGACGGAGGGCCCACACTGACCTCTTGCGTATCCGAGGGCCACCTGCCAAGCCCCTGTGCATCAGGGAGACTGGCTTGAATAAAACCAGAATCCCTGATAAGGTAAATCCTTAAGTTAGAAACTGTCTTAAGTATATTTCACACTGCACAAGAGTGGCATTCTGGGTGCAGCAAACTCAACAGAGGCAAAATGAAAGACATGATTCTGAAGTGGCAGGAGGCACAAATCATGGCTAGACTGGGACTAATGGAAAACAGAAAATAAGCAAACCCATCAACAAACGTTTTCTGAGTGCACACTGTGGGTACAGACTTTCTTTAGGCTGGGTTAACATCATGGAGAAAATAGATGGGGAAGCTGAAATTCACGACTCTTTCTTCTGGAGTGCACCAAAGATGGGCTCCAGAGGAGAAAATAGTTAAGCACTTGAAGAAAAAGTCAAGCAGAAATTGATTTTACTGTCTGTTTTTCTTGGAAAGTGTGTAAAACAATTTTTTTAAACCCACTAAGAGATCTAGTCCCATTTTAACAAAAAAGTTAGCACAATTCATGACAATACAAGTGTTAGTTTTCCTTCTGTAAGAAACACCATCTTTTCACACATGCTGATTGTCCCTGATAGCTAATTGAATTACCCAAAATTAATTTTTCCTGATGATAAAAAATCACATGCTTAAAATTGGAAAAAAGAGGAAATATGGACAAATGAAAGGAATATACAAGGGTGCTTCAAA